TGCTAGGACATTCTTAGAGTAGCGATGGCTCTTTGGGTTTGGTGGTAACTTAGAAGGAAAAGAAAAAAATCTGCAAGACAACATGAATGCTAGGGAAACAGGCATCACTAGCCATTCCAGAAGTCTGCTTTGAACAAGTCGTATGTAAGAAAGAGAGAAAGCACTTTTCCCAATTCATTTCACAATTCTTTCCAATGGCAGTGCTTGCTACCTTTGTACCATAACCCAAACACATCATGTGTTGATGATTGGGAAAATATGGACATGAGAATGAAGAGCTGTGGGCCAGACATGTTATCCCTGCCCTTAACTGGAGAATGTTTTTCAGCTCAAGAGTTCCTATTTTGGGTCTCAGTAAAGGAGACAGATTAGGAAAAATCAGAGCAGATGAAGAATTAGAGCATTGTCTTGTGGGACCCAAGAAACAAAAACATGGCTGTAATCATAAAATATTGCATATAAATTAGAAAAGATAAATGAAAAGCCATTGATACTACAAATAAAAACTGATCAAGGACTTTGAAATATCATTTATATAGAAAAATAAAAACAAAATCCTGATTCTGAGCAGCTGAATGAAAGATTAAGAGGGGAAGTAGTAAGTCTATTTTGGTTAAGGAAAAAAAAATTGACATCACTTAATGATATAATTGACATATAAAAAACTGACATCTCAATGATATAACCTCATTTTCTTCTGTTTTCATGCATTCCTACCAATATCTATAAAACATTAATTTCATCATTTAAAAAAATAGGTAACCTAGATAATAATTAAATATCATTGTTAAATTTAGAGCTTAAGGAAGGAGATATGTTCTTTTCAATCATATTCATCATTCAGATTTTTTTATGATAGTTACATATTACTGAAGTGAAACTTTATAGGTAGGCATGCATCAGTTAAATCACAGGCTTTTGCCATCTATACTGCATACACCTGACATTATATCTTATTTTCCTTAGGTTCTACGAATTTTAGATCCAGTTACCTGTACAGAGAACTCACTTGATAATCCATTTTTTGAGTCTTCACCAACCACCTTACTTGCTACAAAGAAAAATATTGGACGATTTCATCCCTATACCAGATATGAAAATATAACTTTCAATTGCTGTAATCACTGCCAGGGAGAACTTATTGCTCTTTAACAGTCAATATGTTGGAGGCATGCTACAGGCACTTGCTTATTACCCAAGAGTCATTATTATTTGGGAGCTGGGGTTCTTACAATGCTAGAAGTAATATCACTTCCTATTTACATAATGTATATACCCAAAGATGTTTTATGTACTAGAGTCCAGATTAGCCTTTCTTAATAAATATCTCAGGGTAAGAAAAGAATGAAACTATATAGATATATTTAAAATAGAGAATACCTTCCAAGCAATATATGATAGTTTTCCTAAAAGACTATAAAAGAAAAAGATTCTGTTACTCTCTTTTAAGCACTAAATTATTGTTTATCTTACTGGATATTTTATATGAACAGTGTTAATTGAGGTGCTCTAAAGCAAGGGTAGGCAAACTACAACCATGAGTCAAATATGGCCATGCCCATTCATTTACTATTGTCTACACTGGTTTTGCACTACAACTGCAGAGTTAAATAGATGCAGCAGGGCTTGTATGGCCTGCAGAAACTATTTACTATTTGATCCTTTACAGAAAAAGTTTTCTCACTCCAATTCTAAAGTATTTGTAGTAGGGAGCTGGAGGGTTTTCTTTCCCTTTATGGTAATTTTTTGAGCTACAAATGAGCTTTGCAGAAATGGGTGTAGGGATTAATCTTTTAAAAATAAATGCTATATATTAGGAATATAAAAAATATTTTAGAACCAAATTAACAAGTACTTCAGCAAAACATGTTAGTTTTATGCAGGGGATTCTGTATTCTGAATGGAGACAATCTGACATATATAAAAGAAACAGATTCTTAACTATTGACTCTTATTTAGCAAATGCAACACACAAGAATATCCAATTGATATTTATAAAAGGTAGACTTTTTTTAAAACATTGTATAAGCTCAAAGAAAAAATGCAATTAATATACAGTATGTAATATATAATATTGTATATTTATGATGAGCCATCATAAATGCCCATTGCTTAGCCTTTAAGAATAATGAATACTTATATCAAATTATACAGATTTGTTGCAGAAGTGCCTGTCAACAGAGAAATCTTCAAAAGACAAATCTGGTCAAATAATACTAATTGTAATGTCAATGATTTCTTTGGCTGATTTATCTGAGTTATATTTAGTTTTCAAGTGGCAATAAATTTCTCTACTTTCTTTATAGTGAATATTCCTTTTCTCCCCCAGAATTATGTACTTTGGTTCTGGTCTTTGTCTAGCTTAACTACTTGGAATTGATTCTTCAGCCTTTTCATTTAGGATTACTTACTATAAAACTCTCAGAAGAAAACATGAGGGGAAAGCTTCACAACATTATATTTGGCAATGATTTCTTGGATATGACACCAGAAGCACAGGCAACAAATGAAAACATAGACAAACTGAACATCAAAATTTCAAACTTCTGTGCATCAAAAGATGCAGTGAAAAGGCAACACAGAGAATGGGAGAAAATATCTGCAAATCATATATCTGATAAGGGTTTAGTGTTCAGAATATATAAAGCACTCCTACAACTCAACAATCAAAAAAACCAATAAAAATTAGCAAAGGGGCTGGGCGTGGTGGCTCATGCCTGTAATCCCAGCACTTTGGGAGACTGAGGCAGGCAGATCACCGGAGGCCAGGAGTTCAAGACCAGCCTAGCCAATATAGCAAAACCCTGTCTCTACTAAGAATACAAAAAATTAGCCATGCATGGTGGTGGGTGCCTGTAATCCCAGCTTCTCAGGAGACTGAGGCAGGCTTGAACCTGGGAAGCAGAGGCTGCAATGAGCCAAGATCACACCACTGTACTCCAGCCTGGACCACAAGAGTGAAACTCCATCATCTCAAAAACAAAAACAAAAAAATTTAGCAAAGGACCTGAATAGGCAGTTCTCCAAAAAGGATATACAGATGGCCAATAAGCACATCAAAAAATGCTCAACATAACTACTCATTAAGAAAATGCAAATTAATACCACTTCACATCCATTAGGATGGCAATTATCAAAAAAGAAAATTACGAATGTTGGCAAAGATGTGGCAAAATTGGAACCCTTATGCATTGTTTGTGGGAATGTAAAATGTTGAAAACAGTGTGGCAGATCCTCAAAAAATTAATTTAATTTCCTTAATCTAAATGAGACCAGGTGCTGGGACGATTACCTTTATCTCCTGCTAAATCACAGAGGTTTAGGGAGTTCCTTCAGACACCCCCCCCGTACAGTTACCATATGGCCTAACATTTCTGTTTCTAGGTAGATTCCCAAAAGAACTGAAAGCAGAAACTGGAATAGAGATTTGTACAACAGTGTTCACAACTGCATTATTCACAATAGCCAAGAAGTGGTTATAACCCAGTGTCCATTGATGGATGAATAGATAAATGAAATGTGGTATATACATGTAAATAAATACTATTCGGTCTTAAAAAGGAATGAAATTTGATGCTACAATGTAGATGAACCTTTAGAATATTACACTAAGTAAAATAAGTCAGACACAAAAAGTCAAACATCAAATGATTCCATTTATATGAATTCCTAGAAGAGTCAAATTTGTAGAATCAGAAAGCAGAATAGTGGTTATCAGGGACTGGAGAGAGTATAGAATGGGAGTTTTTATTTGGTTGGTATAGAATTACAGATTGGGATGACAAAACAGTTCTGGAGATAAACAGTGATCATGGTTGTACAACCATGTACAACCATGTAGTGTCAGTCTACATAATGCTACTGCATTGCACATTTAAAAAACAATCAAAATGGTAAATTTTACATGTATGTTGCCACAATTAAAAAAAACTAAAAAAAAATTTTTAAATGTATATATACTATTATAACCACAAACTAGAGACACACTTCTGCAACTGTTGGTTTAAGAGTGTCAATAACAATAATAAAGATAAGAGAGCTAAATTTAAAAAATAAAAGATCTCAAATGAGCAATCTAACATAACACCTTAAGGAAACAGAAAAAGAACAAACAACCCAATGTGAGCAGAAGGAAGGAAATTAAGATTAGAGTGCAGACAAACAAAATAGAGAACAGAAAAACGAGAGATATCGAAGAAGTCAAAAGTTAGTTCTTTACAAAGAAAGACCAAATTGACAAATTGATAGCCATACTGACTAAGAAAAATAAAACACATAAAACTAAAATCAGAAATGAAAGTGGGGACATTATTAGTAACCTTACATAGATAAAGAAAAACTGCATACCAATAAACTAGGTAAAATCCTAGAAAGACATGTATTAGTCCATTCTCACACTGCTATGAAGAAATACCTGAGTAATTTATAAAGGAAGAGCTTTTCAAAAAGGGAGAATTATTCTGAGGCTAGACCATGTGATGCTTTATACAGTGCACTTAAAAAAATTTTTTTCCACACAAGACATTTCTAAGTGTCTAATTTACACTTTTTCTTAAAAAACCACAGTAGCTTCTGTTGGCAATAGCTATTAATGAAGAAAGCAGAATTCAATTAATCGAGAAGAAAAAACTTTTGCTCAAAAAGAAAAGGTCCTAGGAGAGAAATAAAAACATGAATGCCGGCCGGGCGCGGTGGCTCAAGCCTGTAATCCCAGCACTTTGGGAGGCCGAGGCGGGTGGATCACGAGGTCAAGAGATCGAGACCATCCTGGTCAACATGGTGAAACCCCGTCTCTACTAAAAAAATAAAAATAAAAAAAATTAGCTGGGCATGGTGGCGCGTGCCTGTAATCCCAGCTACTCAGGAGGCTGAGGCAGGAGAATTGCCTGAACCCGGGAGACGGAGGTTGCGGTGAGCCGATCGCGCCATTGCACTCCAGCCTGGGTAACAAGAGCGAAACTCCGTCTCAAAAAAAAAAAAAAACATGAATGCCTTTTAACTATAAACATGCACACATACATATACATATCTCGGATGTTAGCTTTTAATTAAGCTGAATTTTAACCATTGAGCTCCTAAAAACTATATTTTCCTTCCCAGAGGCCTGTCAGCAGGAATGGACCCAGTACCTCCCATTTTCTAGTTTACATGGTATCAAAAGGAGTAAGACAGAAACACAAGAAGTGGAAACAAATTTTGGACAACATAAGGGGGAGTGTTTTGAGTCAGGGAAAACAGACTCAAAACCTTATCTCAAACGAAATGCAAAGCAATTGTATTACCAAGCCTTATTGCTTCCCTTGGCAGTACCGGACAAATGGCTTAACAAGCCCAGATAGGAAAATAGCAGGCTCCTGGCATAAGATTCGGTTAACTCACCCTTTAAGTGTGTCCACTCCTGATTGCCGTTCTTCCCCAACAGTGAAAGGGACATGCACTTTTGAGCCCAGGACAGCCTTAAAGAGGGTCCCCAGGAAAATCTCACCAGCAGCTGCTGGGATCCTCCTGAAGACTGTCTCCTCACAAGCTGCTGGCTGCTGCATGTAGCACCATCCTGGTCACTCCTGGCTGGTGCACCAAATCTTGTTCCCAGACTAAACTGAGGGTCAGGCTGCTGTTTCTCGTGGCCCAATAACGAGATGCAAATGACCTGGGGAGGAAGAGAGTTTTTATTTCTGCAACTGATTACAGGGAGAAGGCCTGGAAATTATTGCCAGACCAACTGAAAATTACAAAGTTTTCCAGAGCTTATATACCTTCTAAGCTGTATGTCTATGTTTAAGTGTGCATTCATCTAAGGACGTAAGTGATTAACTTATTTTAATCTATAAATAAGTTCTGAGTCCTGAAGATCTTCCTCTGGAACCTCAGTAAATTTCCTTAATCTAAATGGGTCCAGGTGCTAGGGTGATTACCCTTGTCTCCTAATCATGGAGGTTTGGGGAGTTCCTTCAGACACCCCAATAAACTTGTTTGTGGAGACCTGGGGAGTTCCTTCAAACCCACAGTAAAACTTGTTTAATCCAATATGGGCCTTGTTAAGAATTCCTTCATTATTTTGTCATGCTTTAAGGCCCAGGAAAGGCCTAGGCAAAACTATTGATGGGCTTTTGTATATCCCAGCCTTTGTATAAGGGGCCTGGCTTTTAATATTTAACTTAACCCCTCAGTCAGTAAACAGTTGTTATGGAGGCCTGCATTAGTGAGACCTGACCTGCCACAATCCTGTGTTCAAATATTGAAAGACTATATTATTAAGATGGCAGTACTACCCAAAGCAGTCTACAGATTCACTGAAAGCTCTTATCAGAATTCCATCAGCCTTTTTGCAAAAATGGAAAAGCTGACCATCAAACTCATACAGGATTTATAAATGCCCTGAATATCCAAAACAATATGGAAAAGGCCAAATTGGGAGGCCTGAACTTCCCAGTTTCAACACTTACTATAAAGCTACAGTGATCTAAACAATGGGCTATTGGCATAAGTACAGATCATACTAACATACAGATTACTAGAATAGTATTAAGGTTTCAGAAATAAACCCATGTTCTATGGCCAACTAACTTTCAACGAATGATGCTGGAATAACTGAATATACACATTAAAAAAAGTTGAACCTCTGTGATATTGTGATAGAAGCAGAAATACACATTTTGGTCTTGTACCAGTTTCCTGGTACATAGGTCCTAAAACCCTTGGAACATCCCAAGTCCTCAAGTCGTGTCTTTGTATGCTAATGAAATGACTAATGGCTGGGGGATCTGGATGGCGAGGGTCGGGGGTAGTTGCCAGGAGGAGCCAACCAAGTAATTAGAGACCTCCAAGGAGCAGGACATCTGAAGGTTAAGTTGATCACCAGTAGCCAGTGATTTAACCAATCATGCCTTCATAATGAAGCCCCTCACTCCAATAAAAACCCAAAATGATGGGGGTTAGACAGCTTTCTAGGTTGCTGAAAATGTGCAGGTACCCCAAGATCATGGAAGCTCCACTACCCTTCCTCCATACCTTGCCCCGTGAAGCTCTTCAATTTGGCTATTCCTGAATTGTATCCTTTTTAAAAGAGATAAACGTTAAGTGTTTCTCTGAGTTCTGTGAGCCATTCTAGCAAATTACTATGGGAACTGTAACCTGGGGACCTACTATTTGTGACTGATGTCTGAAATGGGGGGCAGTTTCATGGGACTGAGCCTTTAACCTGTAGGATCTGCATTTACTCTGGTTAGTGTCAAAATTGAACTGTAGAATACCCAGTTGGTGTCTACAGAGAATTGGGAAATTGCTTGGTCTTGGGGAAAACAACCTAAACTTCTGGTGTCTGAGTATTGAGAGTACAGAAGGAAAAAGTTTGTTTTTTCTTACTCTATCTCATACCATATATAAAAATTAAGTAAAAATGCATCAAACCGGCAGGGTGCAATGGCTCATGCCTATAATCCCAGCGCTTTGGAAGGCTGAGGTGGGTGGATCACCTGAGGTCAGGAGTTCGAAACCAGCCTGACCAACATGGTGAAACCCCGTCTCTACTAAAAATACAAAAATTAACTGAGCATGGTGGCGGGTGCCTGTAATCCCAGCTACTCAGGAAGCTGAGGCAGGAGAATTGCTTGAACTCAGGAGGCGGGGGTTGCAGTGAGCCAAAGATCACCCCATTCCCCTCCAGCCTAGCAAACAAAGAAAATTCTGTCTCAAAAAAAAAAAAAAAAAAAGTATCAAACCTAGATATAAAAGCTGACACAACAGTACTCTTAAAAGAAAACATAGGGATACTGACCTTCAGTTTGGCAATGGTTTCTTAGCTATGATACCAAAATAAGGAGCTACAAAAGAAAACATAAATTAGACTTCATCAAAATTTAAAATTTTGTACATAAAAGATATTATCAAGAAAGTGAAAATACAACATATAGAAAGGGAGAAAATATTTATAAATCATATATTCTGTAAGGGTCTAGTGTAAAGAATATATAGAGAACTCTTAACAACAAAAAGACAATGCAGTCTAAAAAAAGGTAACCGAAGGACTTTGAATAAACAGTTCTCCAGAGAAGATATACAAATGGCCAAAAAGTACGTAAGATCAGTTATTAGGGAGATGCAAATCAGGACAATATGATGCCACTTCACACACATTAAGACAGTTAACATAAAAAAAATAAGAAAAACAAGTAATGGAGAAATCTGAACCTCTGTGCACTGTTGGCGAGACTGTAAAGCGGTGTAACTGCTGTGGAAAACAGTTTGGCAATTTCTCAAATAGCTTATCATAGACTCACCATATTACCCACAATTCCACTCCTAGGTGTATATGCAAAAGAATTGAAAACAGATACTCAAATACTTGTGCATTAATGTCCATAGCTGCACTATTCACTATAGCTAAAAGTTGGAAACAGTCCCAATGTCCATCACCTGATGAATGGATAAACATAATGTGGTACATATACATATTACTTTATTCCATAAAAGGAATGAAGTACTGATACATGCTACTAATACTAATGAAGTACTGATACATGGATAAACCTCCAAAACAATATGCTAAGTGAAAAAAAATCCAAAAAAATCACATAATTGCATGATTTTGTATATATGAAATATACAGAATAAGAAATCCATAGAGATTAAAAAAAAAAAAAAACATAGTATTTGCCAAGGGCTGGGCATGTGAGAAATAGGGAGTGACTGCCTACAGGTATGGGGCTTTCTTTTCAGGCAATAAAAATGTTTAGGTAGAGGTGGTGATTATGCAACATCATGAATAAATGTCATTTAACTATACACTTTAAAATGGTTATTTTTCAATTATGTCCATTTCACCTCAATTGTAAAAAAAAAAAAAAAAAAAATCTGAGGACAAAAGTTTGGTCCACTAAATCAAGATTTCTATTTGTCATTTCTTACAGCTATCCTAGTGTACTGTAATAGTTATATCCTGTCAAGTGTACATTAATATTTCTATCATTTAGAAACACTACTTCATTGTCCATTCTAACGGCTTGCCTCATCCAGCTCCCAAATTTTGCCTGACTGGATTTCTTACTGTTGCTCAGTTCTGTAGCCTTGCATCCTTTCTGAAATCATTTAGTTGTAAGTAATGCTCAGTACTATATTAAGTGTTCTGGTCTATATATTTTAATGTCAAATTGGCTCTTATCCTTAAGGATAACTATAAACAACACAAGACCAATTATAATGAAATGTTAAACTGCCTGGTATAGTTCAAAGTGCTGTAACAAGTAGAGAAAAGACTGAATATCTCTCTCTCTCTAGTTTCTAAATTAGGGTCAAGTGATTAAGATACAGATAACCCGTGATAAGAACTTTTTTTTTTTTTTTTTTTTTTGAAACAGGGTCTCACTCTGTCACCCAGGCTGGAGTGCAGTGGTTCAATCTTGGCCCACCGCAACCTCCACTGCCGGGGTTCAAGTGATTCTCATGCCTCAGCCTCCTGAATAGCTGGCACTACAGGTATGTGCCACCATGCCCAGCTAATTTTTGCATTTTTAGTAAAGATAGGGTTTCACCATGTTGGCCAGGCTGGTCTCAGACTCCTGGCCTCAAGTAATCCTCCTGCCTCGACCTCCTGAAGTGCTGGGATTATAGGCATGAGCCACCATCCCCAGCCAGAACCTTGTCTTTTAAAGCTTTGCCAGAATGCTTACAGTGACTGTCCATTCTCCGTCACACTTGTATGCTTACCTTTTTCCTCCACCCCTTACAGGCTCTTACACGTATTAGAAGTACTATTCCTCTACACACTGGATTCTCGTATACTCTTAAATATCTCACATACTCTACAAAGGAATGTAATCTTTATAACTAAAAGAAAGGATTTTGCAACCATACAGATCAAAGTCTATGTGAACAAACTGTTCATGTCTATACACTTTAGTTTCCTCCTCTGCAGAATGACACTAATAGGGTTGTCATAGGATTACATTATTTATATAAAGCATTTATAATACATTTTAATATGTTTTAAGCTTTCAATAAAAGTTGGCTACTTTTGTAACATACCTAAAATAGTATTACACATAATTGCTATTTTATCATTTCAAGTTTTATTTCAGATTCAAAGATACATACGTACATTTGTGACGTGGGTTTGTTGCATGTTGCTGAGGGTCTGGGTATGATTGATCCCATCACCCAGGTAGAGAGCATAGTACCCAATGGTTAGTTTTTCAACCTTTGCTCCCTTCCCTCACCCATAGGTGTCCCCAGTATCTACTGAGGACATCTTTATGTCCATGAGTACCCAATGTTTAGCTCTTGCATATAGGGTGTATTTTTTTAAGGTACTAACAGATGGAATTAGGCCTACGCTATTGCTTAGCGTGCCATGATTATTCAAATCTAAAGTTGACATAAATCGGACTTTAAGCCCTTAAACCGGGCTTGTTTAAGGAGTCGCTCCTTCAGCCTTATGAAATGTTCTGTAGTAATTTTTTAATAATAATAGGAAGTATGAATAGAAATCTGTACCTTTCTTGTGTTTTCAGCTAGAAACATTAATAATTTAGAAGTAGAAGAACATAGAATTCATTTGTTGTTCAATTTGTTGTACAGACTAAGAGATGGCACAACACATTACAACACTATGAGAAAAAAATTTAATTTGTTCTAGTATTAAAAAAACAAACT